GTAGGGGGTCATGCCCGACCTAATTTTAGAGCTATCAACTCCAACTTGCCAGGCGGGGACGAAAAAAACGTATTGGTCCCCCGCGCCAGCGGTCGCCAGCGCATGCGAGCAGCTTGCGGGCCGCGCCTTGCTAAGGGCGCACCTTACGCCGGCGCGTCGCACACTTGCAGGCAGATTCGCGGCGCCGAGCAGTTGAGCCTCGTGGAGCTTGCCATGTTCGGACCCTTCCTGCCATGGAGGCAGCAGACACTGAGCGCAAAGAACAGAGGAGGGCGTGCCGCAGAGGAGGAGGAAGCAGAGGAGGAGGACAACGCATGCCAAGAGGAGGCGCAGAGGAGGAGGAGCTGGAAGCAGAGGAGGAGGAGGAAGCAGAGGAGGAGGAGGAGGAGGAAGCAGGGGAGGAAGCAGAGGAGGAGGAAGCAGAGGAGGAGGAGGAAGCAGAGGAGGAGGCCCTCAGCCGCAGGCCGAGCAAGACAGAAGCCCAACGCACATATAAGGGAACGTCCTCCGGCCGGGGGCGAGGCGCCCCGCCGGCGCCCGCGCGCCCCATCGCCATTCGGCTGCTAATGTTCAGTCGGGCGTGTCCCTCTACAGGAGGGATATTCAAAGATAGTAAAAAAAAAGTCTGGGGATGATTTTCGGATTTGTGTTCGAGCAATGTTGCAGTATGTTTCAAATATTTTTCATTGTTCCTCTCAAATCCCCTCTGTAGGGGGGACAGGCCCGACCGAATGCTGATGTGGATCAGACTTCTGGGGGCCAGAGCCTGCAAGGGGCACATTGAGGAAACTCGAGTCCCTAAACAGTGCTTGCGCTGAGGGGTTCTTTTTTCTTCTCTACGGAACTGGACGCCTGTGACGGTCTGGCGGCCATGTTGTCGCCGTCGCCGCCCCGTCGCCGCCTCGTCGCAGCCCGTTGTTTTGGCCTGAGTCGCGGTCTGGCGCATGTGCTGTTGGCGTCGCCGCCCCGTCCCGCCTCGTAGCCGCCCGTCGTCTGGGCCTGCATTGCTTGAAATTGCATTGCATTGCTATGCCTTGCTTCGCACTGCATTGCTTTGTGTTGCTTTGCATTCCCTTGCATTGCCATGCCGCGCTTTGTATTGCTCAGCATTGATGCGTGTCGTTTCGCATTGCCTTACATCGCTTTGCTTCGTTGTGCACCTCTTGCGTTACATTCTGTACCGCATACATTGCGCCACATTGATTGGACCACACACACACCTTCTCCTGTCTATTAAGAGAATGGGCTCGACCCCCGCTGGGAGTATCGACCCCCATGTTCGTTTTGCAATGTACATATGTTTCTGCTCCATCGTCCATCCTAAATATGACTTCGTACCAGCCCAGCCAGGCCGGCATCGCCCCCCCACCCCGCTCAGTCATCCTGTGGAAAAAACTACGCGCGCATTCGTTCATATGAAATGAGAGTGTGTCAAGAATCCTTGGCAAAAACAAACAAAGTGTACACGCGCGCGTCGTCGCGCGCGCATGTTGAAATCCTTCGAAAACCGTGTCGGCTTCGTAAGGATTTCAAATCGAGCGCCCAACAAAAAAATCAAAAACACATGATTTCGCAACACGGATGTTCAAAAAAAACTTGCGCGCGAGCTGCTGCGAAATGTTAAGAAGAAAGAGGTTTTTCAACATTTTCACAAATGCTACCCCAGGGGTTTTCGCGCGTGCGCATGTCGAAGTCGTTCGAACGCCCTTGCGCGCGTGCCGTCGCGAGAATCTTTTTGCAAAAAAAAACGATTGCACACGCGCGCGTCGTCGCGCGAGCATGCCGAAACTATTCAAAAAGAGTCGGCTTCGTAACGATGTCAAACCCGAGTGGTTAAAAACATACAAAGACACATGGCTTCGCAACATCAGTTTTCAAAAAAAACGTGCGCTCGCGCTCTTGCGAATTCTGGAGCATACCATAAGTTCTTCGGCATTGTCACGGGATTCTGCTCAATGGGCTTCCGGCGCCGCATGCCGACATTCGCACGCGCTTGCGCGCGTGCTGGGAGGGCACTACCATGCGGGCCACTCTCACGCGTCGGCCGTGCACATGCCGAACTCTTTCCAAAACCTTCATCACCGACGCGAGGACGCCGTCATCTTCGACGGCGTCTTCAGCATCGGCGCCCGCACAGGCCGCGCGGTCGTCGTTGCCAGCATCGCCCATCGTCACCAGCATCGCTACTATCATCATCGCGTCTACCGTTGTCGACGATGCTATGATACCGCGCCCGCCCAAATCGCCGATTCGCAGTTAAGTGCCAGTTGGGATGTGCCCAGCGGTCAACGCCATCGCGGCCGCGTCGGTCGCGCCAAGCTAGCTGGCCGCTGCGCGCGCGCTTGGGTTGGCGCGGCCGCTGAGATGCACCAGCCAACGCCAAGCACTTATCGCAATCGCCACCGCATGGGTTTTGCAAACCAAATTGCGGGTGGGTGGGTGGGTGGGATGTTTGTAAGAGCATGCGATGTGCCAACTCCTTTGTCAAAATCAATTGCACCACAAATATTGCAAAACATGGATTGCTGAAAACACACTGTTTGGGCCCACGGTGGCAAACATGTTTTGCCGGAAATATTAGCCCGGGCGAAGAAGTTCCAGAGGAGCTACGAAGGAAAAACACCGGATGACACATTTGTTGCGACACAGGCGGCCCCGATCAAGGAAAACGCACGCACGGCCCTCGAGCACGGCATTGAGCTCACCCTTTGCTTCTCCTGCCAAAGGTTGACCCCCATGCGAGGCGACGATTTATCTATATCCACCGCTTGGGAACCGAAGTCCTGGGACCCAGTGGGGGCGGCTGATATGGACATACGTTCGGGCCCGAGGCGGCCCGAACGCATCCACATCCCACCGCCTGCCAGGGTCCCCGAAAATCGATCCTCCAGACAGTGGTCGTGGGTAATTCCCCGCTTCGGACCCGTAGCATTAAGTCAGGAACCTTCTACAGGAGGAGAGTTCAAAATACACTGATTGTTTATATGTGATATATGCTATAACATTAAATATAAAAACAAAAAACCTATGTATTGGACTACGTTCGACTATGCCAGGCTCTGGTTTAAAATTAGTTGTCATGCTTCTTCCCAAATCCGCCTGTAGGAGAACATACCCGACCTAACCTTAGCAGGCGAAGGACCTCGGCGCCGGGCGGCGCCATGGCGACGACGGCCAGCCTGCGGGCCGTGGCCGCGCTGGCGCTGCCCGCGCCAGCAGACGCCAGCCAGTGGCCGGCCTCGGCCCGGCCGCCCCGCCGCGCGGGGCGCGCCGTTGCCCCGCCGGGGGGGAGGGGTGACCCGAGATCTCCGACGGCACTGTGCCAGGGAGCCTGCGACCCCCCGGCCTGGACCTGGGCTTGCGGGGCGGCAGCGGCGGCCGCGGCGGCCGGCGGCGCCGCGCCGGCATCGCGGCGCGGGGCCTGCTGCCGCCGCGCGTTGCGCAGCCGCCGCCGCCGTGCGCGCTGCGCGCGGGGCGCGGGCCGCAGGCCGCCGCGAAGCAAACGGGCCCACGCGAGAGGTCGGCGACAGGCTCTGGACAGTGACACCGTACGCTCCTGGGCTCGCGGGCCCCCCATCGGCGATCACTGGGCGACGGGGGGCCGATGCATCACCCCCCTGCACTGGTCCAGCCCCCCCCCCAACGCTGCCCCTGACCCTCGCCGCCCAGCCTTGAGTCGGGCGTGTCCCTCGACAGGAGGAATATTCACAAATAGTCAAAAAATGGTCTAGCGACGATTGTTCAACTAGTTTTGACTCTTTTTGAATATTGCGAAGGCCTTACGGCCAGTGCCGCCGACCCTGAATGGCGACGACGACGTCGTCGACGTCGTCGACGACGACGACGAGCGCTCTCAGGTGTGGGAATAGTTCGGGGGCCTCTTGGGAGGCTCTTGGGGGCCTCTTGGGGGCCTCTTGGGGCTTCCTGGGGGTCTCTTGGGGGCCTCTTGGGGCCTCTTGGGAGGCTTGGGCCTCCTGGGAGCTTCTCAGGCCGAGGGCTCGAAATGACCGTTCGGGTCTCTCGTCCGGGCTCCCTCTTGGAGCCGTCTTGGGGGCCTCTTCGGCTGTCTGAAGGCCTCTTGGAGGTCTTTTGGGTCATCTTGGGGGCGTCTTGGAGCGTCGGGAAGCTGACAAGGCGAGAATGCCGAAAGTCTTTCAAAAACCTAAGGGAATTCGATGATCTTTGCCCCTTGGGGCCCTCTTGGAAGTCCTCTTGGAGGCCTCACCTGATTTGTTCGACTGGCGGATTCTCCGCAACCTAGGCCCTTCGGGGCCTGTGGTGGGGCCCCTGGGCCATCAAAGACTGATCCGGGGTGTAAAACCGGCCCTGGGAAATGAGTCGGGACTCCTGGTCGGGGGCGACAAAGAGGGGGGTGATGACTAGGGGGGGTGGATAACATGGCGTGGGCCATGATATTTCCCCAGATGTCATGGCGCCTCTTCTTATTTCATTACGTCCCTGGCCCCCCGCTGGGCCGCGCACATGCCGCCGGTCATGATTTGCACCCCCCCCTCTTGGACACCCCCCTCTTGGCCGCTCCCGAAAAATGAGATCGGAGGATGTTTGGGTACGGGTCTGGAAGCTTCTTCACCGCTTTCGGCATCTCGGGGCCCTCCCACGAGCCCCAGGACCATCAAGAAGTGAAGAGCCTTTCCTGGGGGAAGCTCGACTACACGTAGGAGTGACCCTTCGCCGGAGTGACCTTTGGTGCGCGCCCACGGGGGCCCCCCGATCGCCGAGTGCGGTACAATAGTATTGTCTTGTGCGTTTGTGTTTGGTCCCCCCGCGACCCTCCACAAGCCGCGCACCAGAGGTCATTCTGACCCAGGGTCACTCATGCGTGCAGCCGAGAAGGCGCCCGGATTCGGGAGTTTCCCTCTGTACCCGCTTCTAGCATGCCAAGAAGGTCTACCGAGGCCACCCCGGAGTCGTTCTTCTCTGCGATCCGCGCGTGCGCGGAGTCCGGCCAGGCCGACGAGGCCCTGGACCTCCTGGAGCAGATGGTGAGTGCAGGCGTTCCTGTGGACGTCGCGTGCTACAACGAGGTGCTCCGCGCCTTTGTGGCGGGAGGCCAGCTGGAGCTGGCCCTGTCGCTGTTCGAGAGCATGCCGCAGGTCCCAGGCGCCCAAAGCCCAAACGGCATGGTGGCCACACCGCGTCGTGACTCGGTGGGGATTCGGGGTCGCCGCACAACTTTTGGACCCGAGTCGCTCTCCGAGGACTTCTCGGGCGATTGGGGCCTCCGAGGCCCCAGATGCGTGCGGCGACGGACCGTGCGGTGAGGTCTTTCAGGGTTTCGAGGTCACCGCACGGGTTCCCCAGATCCAACGTTGCGTAAGAATTGCAACTTCACGAAAAAGCATGACAGGAGCCCTAGACCCCGTCTTCTTGCTGCATGTTTCAAGCCGGACTGATGTGTGATGGCATTGAGGCCCGAAGCCTGGCGAAAGCGCCCGCTGCGAAAAGATTGCGGCGCCCGGACCTCCGGGCTTTGGGGACGCCCAGCAGGTGGGCCTCGCGCCGGACGCGGCAGCCTACAGCCTCGTCCTCGCCGCCTGCGAGCGCGCCGGCCTGTGGCAGCAGGCGCTCCACCACCTCGAGAGCATGCGTGCGGCCGGCCTGCGGCCAGACGAGCAGGCCTTTGCCTCCGCGGTGGGCGCGTGCGCGAGCGGGGGCCAGTGGCAGTGGGCCGTACACGTCGTCACGGACATGCAGGAGCTCAGAGGAGGATTAGCAAGGGCGCCCTCGAGGGCGCGCAGTTCTTCGCGCTTCGCAGTTCGGCTCCGATCCTTTCGCACCCTCCTCTTCTCCCCTGGGGGGCGGCGCGAGAGCACGAAGTTATTCGCGCGTCGCGCCGCGCGAAGCGCGAAGTTAGGCGCCCTTGAGAAGGCACTGGCACCGCTGCCCTTCCCTCGCTGTTTCGCCTTCGTGGGCCTCCTGGGAGGCCCTCGTCGCCACGGGCTGCGTTCGCCTCGAGGCTCCTTGTAAGAGCGCACCCTACAGGAGAGGTCTGGGGAGCAGCGGTATGGCTATCTCCTGGCTGCCCCAGGAGCAGGGCCTCGTGCCCACCGAGGCCACGTTCGGCGCCGCGATCGCGGTCTGCACGGAGCGCGGGCAGGTGGAGTGGGCCGACGCGCTCGCGGTGAAGATGTACCGGGCGGGCGCGGCCGAGGCCCTCGTCGGCGCGGGCCAGGGCAGGGCATGGGTCGATCGGGTGGCGGGCCTGCAGCGCTACGGGACCGACCTGGAGAAGACGAGGTGGGGCGTCTATTGCGACGTCTACGGCGGCAGGCAGCGGGACCCCGCGGCGCACGACGACGCCTTCCTGGAGAGGTTCTTCGAGATGCTCGACGCCTGGCCCACGGACGCAGGCATGGATGCCGAGGGGGCGGAGTCGCACGAGGTCCTGGCCATGAGGGTCTTGGAGATGCAGGCGGTCGCGTCCTCGGCGCAGAAGTTCAGGTGGGAGCGATTCTGTGCGCTGCGGTCTGCCAGCCTCAGGGATGAGCGGAACGACAGGCTTCGGCGGGATCCCATGCTGCACCACGACGCCCAGTCCCTGCGGGAGTACTTGGAGCTGGAGGCCGCTGCTGCTGCCGCAGTCCCCGAGGCGGCGGAGGAGGAGCTTTCGTGGGGGCCGCGCCAAAGTGGGTACTGTCAACCCGCATATGAAGGATGGGCAACCTTCCCAAGGGTACCCTTGCATCCTTGCCTCCTCGGTTCATCATTGGCCACGTTCGTTGGCCGCGCCCCGTTCGAAAAGCTTCGAAATAGGTTTCCAAGGCCCTTGCATCCGTACCGCGCATCCTTCTTATACGGGTTGACTGTAACGCGAGGGGTCCGATTTCTGAGAAGGCAGGGGGGCCATGGGCGTCGATCAGGCGTTTGGATGTGTTTCCGAGTGTGTGCGTGCGTGCGTGTTCCACATTCCACAATCACATGCTGCGAACATGAGTACAGTCAACCCGCATTATAAGGATGGGCAACTTTCCCAAGGGTACCCTTGCATCCTTGCCTCCTCGGTCCATCCTTGGCCGTGTTCGCTTGCCGCGCCCCGCTCGCAGAGTGTCGACATGGCCTCCCAAGGCCGTTCCATCCTTATCGTGTGTCCTTATGATACGGGTTGATGGTATTTGATAGGCAATTATGCGTGCTGATATACTTTTCCTAGCAGGGTGGGCCGCAGTCGCTGAGGCGTCAGTCCACGGTCGCTGTGAGCGCAACCGAACAACGATCAATCCACATCCAGTGTTCAAGATCGTCGAGCAGAGGATACCACAGTGCGCATGGAGACACATGATCTTTGGAAGGTCGTGTTGGGCGGCTCCTGCGCACCCCTTGTCACCTGCGTCTCGGGTGTCACCACAGCGGTTGCCACCTGCAACGCCTGGTGCTATCGTCCACAGTTCGCGCACGAGGAGGGCGAGAGGCAGCACGAGCGGCCCCTCGTGCTTCGGGTGTGCGCGCGCGTGCGTGTGCGAAGCCAGCCTCCCCTCGCCCCTGCCGCCGCCGCACCCCGCCTCGCTTTCTCGGACATCCTCCTCGCGACATGGCAGCACCACTTCCTCGCGACCTGCCCACTCTGAAGTCGGGCGCGCCCCCCCACTGGAGGAATATTCAAAAATAGTCAAAAAATAATCGGGGGACGATGTTTCGACCATTGTCGATGTTCCTTGCACATGTTTTGACTGGTTTCCCTTACTCGTCCAGAATCCGCCTGTAGGATGTAGGAGGACATGCCCGACCTGGCGCCTGCTCTGCCCGCGGGAACGATCCGCCCCCGGCCCACCTCCCGCTCGGGCTGGTGCAGGCTCGCCGCGCTCCTGCACGCCCGTCCCCACCTGTGGTCGACGCGCCTCTGCCGCGGGCTCTCTCATCGGGGGCAATGTGTTCGGGGGGGATCGGCTCAAGTCGGGCATGTCTTCCTACAGGCGGATTCTGGAAGAAGAAATCAAACATTAAAAAGTTGTTTGGGTCGACAAAAACTCCCCAGACTCTTTTTCCCAACCATTTTGTGGTGTTGGGTCCACGTTTTGAAGAGACAGCGCCCCGCGTTCCTTCCTTCCTTCCTTCCTCCTCCCCCTCCTCCCTGCTCCCATCCCTGCCTCTGCCTTGCGCATGTCCTCGTCGTCGGCATCATCATCATCATCATCATCATCATCATCATCATCATCATCATCATCATCATCATCATCATCATCATCAGCATCAGCATCAGCATCATCATCATCAGCATCAGCATCAGCATCAGCATCAGCATCAGCATCAGCATCATCAGCATCATCATCATCATCATCATCAGCATCAGCATCAGCATCAGCATCAGCATCATCATCATCATCATCATCATCATCATCGTCATCGTCATCGTCATCGTCATCGTCATCGTTACCGAAGGCCCCGGTGGCGGTGTCCACATGCGTCCCCCCCACCCAGCACAGCGCTTCGTGGCCCCAAAGGGAGTTCCACATGAGGCCCCAGTAGCGGTGTCCACATGCATTTCCCCCACCAAGCACAGCGTTTCGTGGCCCCATGGGGAGCTCCACCGAAGGCCCCAGTGGCGGTGTCCACATGCGTCTCCCCCATCCAGCGAAGCGCTTCGTGGCCCAATAGGGAGCTCCACCTGAGGCCCCAGTGGCGGTGCCCACATGCATCTCCCCCAAGCAGCACGGCGCTCGTGGCCCAATAGGGGATTCCACCTAAGGCACCAGTGGCGGTGTCCACATGCGTCTCCCCCATCCAGCACTGCGTTTCGCGGCCCCATAAGGACTCCGCCTGAGACCCCGGTGGCGGCGTCCACATGTGCTTCCCCCACCAAACACAGCTTGTCGTGGCCCCATACGGAGTTACACCTAAGGCCCCGTGGCGGTGTTCGCATGCGTCTCCCCCGCCCAGCACAGCGTTTCGTGATCCCATGGGGAGCTCCACGTAAGGCCCCTGTGGGGGTGTCCACATGCGTCTCCCCCACCCAGCGCGGCGTGTCGTGAACGCGTAGGGAGCTCCACCTAAGGCTCCAGTAGCGGTGTCCACTTGCGTCTCCCCCACCCAGTACAGCGGTTCGTCGCTCCTTGGGGAGCTCCACTGGAGGCCCCAGTTGCAGATTCCGCATGCCTTTCCCCCACCCAGTGTTGCGTTTCGTGGCCCATAGGTGGCTCCACCGAAGGCCCCAGTGGATCCGTTCACATGCGTCTGCCCCGCCCCGTACAGTGTTTCGTGGCCCCATAGGGAGCTCCACAGACGGCCCCAGTGACAAAGTTCGCATGCGTCTCCCCCACCCAGCACAGCGCTTCGTGGCATCATTGGCAGCTCCATCGAAGGCCCCAGTGGCAAAGTTGGCCTTCCGCCTTTCGCGAGCTTCGGCCTACAAAGGGCTCTCACGAGACCGTCAAAGACCGACTCGGGACGAAAAAACCGTTGAAACATAGTTTCGTGTTCGTTTGGCTATGTTTGATTCTTGGGCTTACGCCACACTGCCGACCCCTTGGGGAACTGGCGGCTGTTGCGTGTTACTCTTGAAGCCTCTTGTGCGCCTTGTGGGAGCTTCTTGGAGCTCTTTTGGGGCTTCATGGGGGCCTCTCGGGGGCCGTTTCGGGGCTTCTTGGGCTGACGTTCTCAGCATTAGCCGTGCACGCATTAGGAATGGGGCGAGAAACCCCGTATACAGACAGAGGGCATATGTCAAAAAAACCCGACGAATGATTATCGAATGGCGCCCGCGCGTCTTCTCCTTCTCCCGCCCCCCCCTCTCCTCCTCTTCTCTCTTGTCTCTTACCTCGCTCCTTCCTGCGTGCCAGCCTGCCTCCTACCTGGCCATACCTGTGGGGCTGTGATCTGCGAAAGTGTAGTCACTTCAGAGGACTGAGGGGGAGCCCAGCGGAGTGACGTCTTACCAAGATTCAGATGAGACCTCGCCATCACTGTGGGGCTGCGATCTGCGAAACGGTCGCCAATTTCGAGGGCTGCTGGGGGGCCCAGCGGAGTGACGTCTTACCCTGATTCAGATGAGACCTCGCCATCCGTGTGTGGCCGCGATATGTGAAGTTGTCGCCACTTTCGAGGGCTGCTGGGGGCCCAGCGGAGTGACGTCTTACCAAAATTCAGATGAGACCTCGCCATCCCTGTTGAGCTGCGATCTGCGAAGCGGTCGCCAATTTCGAGGGCTGCTGAGGGGCCCAGCGGAGTGACGTCTTACCAGATTCAGATGAGACATCGCCATCCGTGTGGGGCTGCGATATGTGAAACTGTCGCCACTTTCGAAGGTTGCAGTAGGTTCCAGCGGAGTGACGTCTTACGCGGACCACAAGGAGACCTCGCCATCCCTCGGGGGGGGCTGCGATCTGCGAAATTGTCGCCAATTTCGAGGGCTGCTGGGGGATTTAGCGGAGCGACGTCTTACGCGGACCACCAGGAGTCCTCGCCTTCCACGTGTGGCTGCGATCTGCGAAATTGTCGTCTGTTCCGATGGTGGAAGACGAGGTGGAGGAGGGGGAGGAATGGGAAGGGTAAGACGAGGTGGAGGAGGGGTAGGAGGAGGAGGAGGAGGAGGAGGAGGAAGAAGAGGAGGAGGAGGAACCGGGGGAGGAGGTCCAGCACCTGTTGCCGTGGCGGCGCCAACGCGGTTATTGCTCTAACTTTCAGCAGATTCAATCATTTGTTCGCGCGCCCCGGCGACATTGCGCAGGCAGCGTTGCATCTTTAGTGTAGTACTGTATTGCCGACACAAGCAACGCTCTCCAGTCTCTTCCCGTCATTGTCGTCGTCGTCGTCCCTTGCCCCCTGCCCTTTTCCCTCGACTGCTGACGCGCTGACGTTTCGGCCCCCCGCGCGTTCTTCGCCTGCCCTTCGTTCCCGTCCCCATGTCCTCCTCAAGCTTGGGCCGTCGCTCCTCGTCCTTCTGCTGTTGTCTTGTAAGTCATGCCACGTGGGCGCACCCCATGTAGCTTGCACAACACATATCGGCGCCTGCACTGTCATTGTCCTGGCAAGGTTGGGGCATTATGGGCACGCGTGTGGAATCGGGCGTGAATCCACGTATACAGACCGAGGGCATCCGTCAAAACACCCGACGACTGATTATCGAATGGCCTTCGACACGTCCCGCCACCATACCTGGGTTGCGGGTCTGAGGCCACTCGGATAGCTGATGGGGTCTCGTGGGATGCGTCTCGGGGGCGTCCTGGAGGCAGTTGTTGAACCTCCTGGGAGCCTCCTGGGGGCCTCTTGGTTTTTTGCGGCCATCTTGGGGCTCCCTGGGGGCCTGCTCTGGACCCCTTGGGGCAAGCCAGAGGCGTCTTGGGGTGGATGGCTCGAAATGTCCGTTCGGGTTCCCCTTCTGCGCCCCCTCTTGAAGTTGTCTTGGGGCCCTCTCGGGTCGTCTTGGAGCCCACTTGGGGGCCTCTTGGCCCGTCTTGGGGCGAACCTGAAGGCCTCTTGGGCCGACTGGGATGTCATGAACGCCCAAGAGGCGAATGCACAACAACGCACGTTTTCCAAAGGGAATGGGACGGTTTTTGCTTCTGGAGGCCCTCTTGGTTGGGGGTTTCGTGGGGCGTCCTGGGGGGGGCCAGCGTGGGCGTTTTGGATCGATTTTTCAGCGTCTCGCGGCCCTCGTGGACCGCCCCAAGGTCCTCTCTTGGGGCCCTCTTGACCTGTTTTGGGGCCTTCTGCCCCCCGGGCGCGTTCAACCACCACCCCGGCGGACCCCCACCCCCCTCCAAATCGACCGGACCAGGCTCCCAAAGAGGGCGGTTGGGGAGGGGGAAGCATTTCACACGCCACGCTGATGAACGTCAATGGGTCGGCGGATTATTTTGAGTATGTTTGATTTCGTCCAGAAACCGCTTGTAGAAGACATGCCCGACCAAAACAAAGTCGCGCACCGCCCGCGCGTCCAGCGTGCCAGCGCGAGCTTCCAAGCGCCCCCCCTACGCCCCCGATCCAACGCTGCTTGGCATCGCGGGCGGGGGGCAGGAGTTCGGCCAGTCGACGGATCGACGCGTCGCGTCGCAGAGCGCCAAGACTCCAGTCGGGGGCGCGGGGGTCGTAAACAAGAATCAGCATAGAAGGTGCTGGAAGTTTTGTCAATCCACCAGACCTCTGGGGGTCCACGACGTGGAGAAGACACGGCGTCGGGGGCCTGGGGAGGCCGCCCGGCCATCCCAACCCTGGACCACACGCCAACCCGGGCGGGTGCCTGGACTCCAGGCCTCCCAGAGGGGGTCCGAGCAGGTGGGGTCGGAGGATCGCTCCGCATCGCCGATGCATCGACGATGCGGCTCGATGTGGAACCCGATCTTCTCCACGCCGACTGCGCCCATGCATCGCCGACGTCGCTGGTACATCGCCGAAGCACCGCCGCAGCGCGATCCTTCGACCCCATCCATTCGGAGCCCATTTGGGAGGCCTCTACGGAACCCTCGCGGGTCCGTCCTGCCTTGCCCAGCCTGACAAGTTCCGTCCAGCCGCGGCCAGGGTGGTCCCCCAGGAGGCCCCAGGGAAGGAACAAAAACATTCGAGCGACGCAAGCAAACACGGGGTCGATTGCGCCGACATTCGCGCGCAAGCAGCCCGCGTAGCTTGCCCGCGTAAGTTGCCCGCGTAAGGTCCCACGTGCGCGCCCTCGTTGCAAATGTGGCGTGCCGCGCCGGCAGCCCGCGTAAGCCGCGGCGTAATGGCAGTACAGTCGGGGCCCTGAAGAAGGAACCCTTTTCGTTGGGGAGGGGCTCCGCGTTCCTTAAGTGTTTCACAGCTTGCCTCGGGTCTTCCTCATGTTTTCGATCGCAGATCGAAGCTTAACGTATGGAAAAAAGGGGCCTCGTTCCTTATTTAGGGTTCCTCAGGTCAACGCCCCGACTGTATGCATTCTCGCGTGGGGCGCTTCTTCTTTTTTCCGCCGCTCGCATGAGTGTCACAATCTGGCGGAGGCGTCGCGCGCCACCCCCGCTGGCGCGCGGCCAGGAGGAGCCTTCGCAGCCGCGCGGGGTCCAGGAGATCTGCAACGAGCTGGCGAAGCTCCGGGAGGCCGCGGTCCTGTTCGAGGAGGCGGTGCGCGCGGGCGTGTTCAGTTACAGATGGCGGGACGGCGCCGGAAGGAAGGACACACGCGTGGATTTGCACATGTTGAACAAGGACCTTGGAGCCGGCTGGGGGTCTGAGGTGGCTCAGCACCAGTTCCGGCCAGCAGGAAGGTGGGGGGGGCAAGGTTTGAGGTTGTGGAGTCGAGGGCCGTTTTCGGGCTCCAGGACCGTCAAAAACGGATCCAGGATGAAAAACTGCACCAGATGGATCCCGAGATGGGTCCAGGGACCGAGTTTGAGCGGATTTAGCCTCGCCCCCCTTCTTGATCGATTTTCTGGGGCCCCATCCAGTTCAGACCCCCCGGCACTCCCCGACAAGGACCTGGCCAAGCTGGCAGTGTACGTGGCGCTGAGTGAACTGTTGCTCCTTCCACCAGGCAGCGACAGGCTCAACTACAGCATGCGCATCATGGTCGGCAAGGGGCTGCACAGCCATGGCGGGGTCAAGGTTACAGGACCTCTCGTCCACAGGTTCCTGAAGGAAAGCTTCCTCTTCAAGCTGGCGCCGCTGGATAACGCATCCGACGTCATCACTATCGGTACAAAGGAAATTCGGCGTGTACACGCGATGCATCCATTTTGGGTGAGCGAGAGAAGCTGGCGGCTGGCAGCAAAAAGGCATCGCGCGCTTCTGCAGGACGCTGCACACTGAAGCTCTGGACCAAGACATGGTCGCGTCGTGAGAAAAAAAACATGGAAGGTTTTTGGTAGTTTCCGGCCTCCTGGGGCCCTTGCCAGGCTTTGGGACCGTCAAAAAACAATTCGGGATGAAGAACCAGCCCTGAGGAAAAGGTTTTTGGGATTTCCGGAGACCCCGTATTTCAAAATCGAGACATCGCACGTCTGGGAAACATGTACGCGTGTGTAAATCCAAGTGTAAGTGCAAGTGTGTGAGTGTGTGTGTGTTTGTGTGTGTGCGTGCGTGCGTGTGTGTGTGTGTGCGTGTGCGTGTGTGTGTGTGGTGTGGTGTGTTGTGTGTTGTGTGTTGTGCTGTGCTGTGCTGTGCTGTGCTGTGTCGCGTTGTGCTGTGCTGTGCCGTGCCGTGCTGTGTTGTGTTGTGTTGTGTTGTGTTGTGTTGTGTTGTGTTGTGTCGTGTTGTGTGTGGTGCGGTGTGTTATGTTGTGTTGTGTTGTGTCGTGGTGTGCTCTGCTATGCTGTGCTGTGCTGTGCTGTGATGTGGTGTGTTGAGTTGTGTTGTGTTGTGTTGTGCTGTGCGTGGTGTGGTGTGGTGTGGTGTGTTGTCTTGTGCTGTGTTGTGTGTGTTGTGTTGTGGCGTGCTGTGCTGTGCAGTGCTTTGGTGTGTTGTGTTGTGTTGTGTGTGTCTGTGCGTGTGTGCCTGTGAATGAGCCTGATCGTGTGCCTGTGTTTGTGCCTGTTCCTGTGTCTGTATATGTGTCTATGTCCGTGTCTGTGTCGGTGTCGGTGTCGGTGTCGGTGTCTGTGTCTTTGTTTGTGTCTGTGTTTGTGTCTGTGTCTGTCGTCTGTGTTGGTGTCGGTGTCGGTGTCTGTGTCGGTGTCGGTGTCGATGTCGGTGTCGGTGTTTATGTCTGTGTGCTGTGTCTGTGTGCTGTGTCTGTGTGCCTGTGCGTGTGTGCGTGTGTATGTGTGTGTGCCTGTGCGTGTGTGTGGTGTGGTGTGTTGTGTGCGTGTGTGTGTGTGTGCGTGTGTCTGTGCGTGTGTGTGTGTGCGTGTGTGTGCGTGTGTATATGCGTTTTGGTGTGTGTGTGTGTGTGCGTGTTGGTGTGGGTGTGGTTGTGGGTGTGTGTGTGGGTGGGTGCGGGTGGGTGCAGGGGGTGGGGGCGGGGGGTGTGGGTGTGAGTGTGGGTGTGGGTGTGTGTGGTTGTGTGGTTGTGTGTGTGGGTGTGTGGGTGTGTGGGTGTGTGTGTGGGTGTGTGGGTGTGTGGGTATGTGGGTGTGTGGGTGTGTGGGTGTGTGGGTGTGGGTGTGGGGGTGGGTGTGAGTGTGTGTGTGTGTTCTTCCTACACCGCGCCGTTGCGCGCGTGCCCTGCGACGCCAAAAAATGTGTCCTTCCCTTCGGAGGGGACCTCTTTTAGAGAGCCTTTACGGGGGGGCCCTCGTCGCCACGGCCAGGTGCATCTCGAAATCCTGGTCGAGACGCGGCCCAGTAGAGGCGTGGGGGGCAGATGCTTGGCTGTACAGCGCAGCCTCTGGGGACCCCCCGCGGCGGAAATCGTTCGAGACTGAACTGTAGCCCCTTTTTCCACCTTCTCGCGGCATCGGCCGTTAAGGGGGGAGGGGGGGGGAGGGGGCCAGTGGCGCCACGATTCGCGCCGACGCCGTCTGGTATCATTAGCCAGCCGGGGCAATTCCCAGGCCGCGCTGCTGCGAATCAGCACGTTGCCAGGAGGGGGACGGGAGCACGGGCGTTCTCGAAAAGCGCGCTCCTGCCCACGCGGAGACGGAGGGACTGGCGCCATCAGGGCAGCAGCAGCATCAGCATCGCAGTCCTGAAGAAAATCCGAGCCGGTGGCGTGGCTATTATTGCTTCGGTTTCGTACACCAAGCTAGAGAGAATCGGGCGGCGCTAGAACCAGGATGCAGTCAACCCGCATGGTAAGGATGGGCAACCTTTTCAAGGGTACCCTTGCATCCGTGTCTCCTCGGTCCATCCTCGGCCACTTTCGTTGGCCGCGCCCCGCTCGAAAAGCTTCAAAATGGCCTTCCAAGTCCCTTGCATCCGTATCGTGCGTCCTTTTATTTTTGGACGCCCGAAATGGGTACGGAAAAAATTGGCACAATGCCCAACAACAAATGTTGTCCAAAACTAACAGCGGCCGCTGTTGGGCAGGCGGCCCTCTGTCTCAAATAGACACAGGCCGCGGCGGCGCGGACAGCGAGTCCTGTTCAAAATGAACAGGAGCTGCTGTTGGGCATTGTACCCATTCTTTCCGTACCCATGTCGGTCGTCCCGATCTTTATACGGGTTGATTGCAACTCGTTTCAAATCGTTCCGGGGTGGTCTCGGAGCATCCCGGAGCGCTCCGGAGCGGCCGCGGCGCACGACCTCGGAGCCGCCGAAGCTCCGAGATCCCCGGTGCTGTCGCGCTCCGATGTTGTCCCGGTCCTGGCCTCGTCCTAGGGGCGGGTACGAGGCAGCAAGCGAGAGGCGCGATGGAGGCTTGCGGCGGAGTGAAACACGGCTGCAGGTGGGTCGACGTCTTCGCGGACGAGGCGGGGCGGTCGCAGCGCGTGCACCCACGCTGGCCTCCTGTCCAATGCTCGACTTTTCACGTGCCCCAAACAGCTCACGCAGCTAGGACTTGTTTCTCTGTGGGCTTGTTTTCCCAACCATCCTGTGGTGGTTGGGTCCTTCCTCCTCCCCCTCCTTGCATCTACCCTCTTCACGTCCTCATCGTTCGTGGCCCCATAGTCGGTGGTTCAAATAGGGATGGGGTTCTAAGGATAGGACGGGATCCAAGGGTGGCTTTACATTGGTTGAGGCACCTCGTCCTTCCAACCGTGAGGACCCCATCTTTGAACCACCGACATGGGGAGCTCCTCCCAAGGCCCCAGTGGCTGCGCTCACATGTCATTCCCGCCTCCGTTTCGGAGAACCCCGCACACGCTGCGTGGCCCCATAGGGGGGGCCTCCACCGAAGGCCCTGGTGGCTCCGTTCACATGGCGTACGCGCCACCGATTCGGCACACCCCTCACACGCTGCGTGGCCCCATAGGGAGCTCCACCGAAGGCCCAAGTGGCTGCGCTCACACAGCGGACCCGCCTCCGATTGGGCACACCCCTCACACACTACGTGGCCCCATAGGGAGTTCCACCGCAGGCCCAAGTGGCTGCGCTCACATGGCATATATGGCCCCCTTCGGCACACCCCTCACATGCTTCGTGGCCACGTATGGAACTCCACCGAAGACTCTAGTGGCGGCTGCATTCAAATTGCGTACTCGCCCTCGCATCGGCACACCCTCACACTCTTCGTGACCCCATAGGGAGCTCCACCGAAGGCCCCAGTGGTTGCGCTCACATGGCGTACCCGCACCCGCTCAGCACACCCCTCACACGTTTCGTAGCCCCATAGGGAGCTCAACCGAAGGCCCCAGTGGTTGCGCTCACATGGGGTACCCCGCCCCTGAATCGGCATTCCCCTCGCACGTTTCGTGGCCACATATGGACTCCACCGAAGGCCCCAGCGGGTGCGCTCACATGGCCTAGGCAAATCCCTTTCGCGCTTCGTGGCGCCATGGGGAGCCACACCGAAGGCCCCACTGGCAGGATTCACACGTCTCGCTCTTCTCGCTGCCCACACTTCCCTCACCCCCTGCCAGGTGTTTCGCGCGCAATTCCTGTGTTCCCCAGTGATTGGTCGCACCAAATCGGCGATCGAGTTTACAGGTCGGCCCTCCCGCTCCGCCCCCCGCCCCTTGCCCGCACAGCCTTGCGCCTCGTCCTTCCTGCGGCGCGCTCCCTGTGAGAGCAGAGGCTGTGTCCTACGCTGCTCACAGTTTGCGTGCCTACCTTCGTCGCATCTCCTTCGCGGGACTCACAACTGTACATGGTCGGGTTCTCCGCCAGGCTGACCAGAAGAAGGAAATGTGAGGGAGCACGCGCGATCACCATTTACAACCAGAGGATGCGTCAGTCCAAGCAGCCCCAGAAAAGCTAAAGACTTGGGGCCCTCGTGGAGGCCTCCTGGTGGCTCTTACTTACGGGGGCAAGTTTGGGCACCTCAGGGCTGTCCTCATCCAGCTGCCTGCGGCAAGTCCCACCACCCGCGCCAAAACAGTATTCAGAGAGGCGGCGCTTCGAGCACCGCTCACAAGGTCGTAACATGTGGCACCCTTCATCTCTATCCCATTGAGGGGCTCTGATGGGAGCTCTCATGGGGGCTACCTGGCCCGTGCTGGGGCTGTCGTCGGCTTCTTCGGGGCCGCCTTGCTGCGTTCGTGCTGTGTTAGGCCCCTATGAGACATCTGGCGAATCGTATGTAGCTGTCCTCAGAGCCGGTTGAGGTGTTCTTTCGTAGAGGGCACCAAAACAACATGTCGGTTGATCTGAGGCCTTCCCTACGCTATTCTTGGAGACAGGATAATCCTTTCAGCATTCCGCTACAAAAGATAGATGTTCTGCATTTTGCAACCAGAAGAATGTTGTTGAACCTTGCCACATTATCTCGGCAAAGTAACCTAACAGCGATGTGTAGGAGCATATCTGGAAGCATTCCCCTTAAGATTCAGATGATAATCCAGTTGTAGAATTCAGCTGCTCTTGCAGTCGTAGTCGCATTCGCGATGACAGTCGCAGTGGCAACGGCAGTCGCAGTCACAGCCTCAGCCTCAGCCTGCCTTCAGCCTCAGCCTCAGCCTGCCTCAGCCTCAGCCTGCCTCAGCCTCAGCCTCAGCCTGCTTCAGCCTCAGCCTCAGTCTGCCTTCAGCCTCGGCCTCAGCCTCAGCCTCAGCCTCAGCCTCAGCCTCAGCCTCAGCCTGCCTCAGCCTCAGCCTCAGCCTCAGCCTCAGCCTCAGCCTCAGCCTGCCTCAGCCTCAGCCTCAGCCTCAGCCTCAGCCTCAGCCTCAGCCTGCCTCAGCCTCAGCCTCAGCCTGCCTCAGCCTCAGCCTCAGCCTGCAGCCTCAGCCTCAGCCTGCCTCAGCCTCAGCCTCAGCCTCAGCCTCAGCCTCAGCCTGCATCAGCCTCAGCCTCAGCCTCAGCCTGCCTCAGCCTCAGCCTCAGCCTCAGCCTCAGCCTCAGCCTGCCTCAGCCTCAGCCTCAGCCTGCCTTCAGCCTCGCCTCAGCCTCAGCCTGCCTCAGCCTCAGCCTGCATCAGCCTCAGCCTCAGCCTCAGCCTCAGCATCAGCCTGCCTCAGCCTCAGCCTCAGCCTGCCTCAGCCTCAGCCTCAGCCTGCTTCAGCCTCAGCCTCAGTCTGCCTTCAGCCTCGGCCTCAGCCTCAGCCTGCCCTGCAGCCTCCTGCCTCAGCCAGCCTGCCTCAGCCAGCCTCAGCCTCAGCCTCAGCCTCAGCCTCAGCCTCAGCCTCAGTCTGCTTCAGCCTCGGCCTCAGCCTCAGCTGCCTCAGCCTCAGCCTCATCAGCCTCAGCCTCAGCCTCAGCCTGCCTCAGCCAGCCTGCCTCAGCCTCAGCCTCAGCCTGCCTCAGCCTCAGCCTCAGCCTGCTTCAGCCTCAGCCTCAGCTGCCTTCAGCCTCGGCCTCAGCCTCAGCCCTCAGCCTCAGCCTGCATCAGCCTCAGCCTCAGCCTCAGCCTGCCTCAGCATCAGTCCTGCCTCAGCCTCAGCCTCAGCCTGCCTCAGCCTCAGCCTCAGCCTGCTTCAGCCTCAGCCTCAGTCTGCCTTCAGCCTCGGCCTCAGCCTCAGCCTGCCTCAGCCTCAGCCTGCCTCAGCCTCAGCATCAGCCTGCCTCAGCATTCAGAATGTGGCCCGTGAATGGAATTCTGGGAACTCGAAGAACACGAAGTAGCCTACACTTGGCTCCGGGCATTCAAAATCATGCCCAGGAATTGAGTTCTGGGAACTCGAAGACCACGAAGTGGCCTACAGTTGGCTCTCTGGGCATTCAAAATCATGCCCAGGAATGGATTTTGGGAACTCGAAGACCACGAAGTGGCCTACAGTTGGCTCCGGGCATTCAAAATCATGCCCAGGAATGGAGTTTTGGAAACTCGAAGAACACGAAGTGGCCTACAGTTGGCTCCGGGCATTCAAAATCATGCCCAGGAATGGAGTTCAGGGAACTCGAAGACCACGAAGTGCGTTACTGCTGGCTAAAAAAGGAGTCCCCAGTTTTCCACGGCACCCGTCCGGCATTTGCCCAGAACCCCTTGGGGAGTCATGATGCTTTCTTTTGAGACCACTAGAAGCCGATCAATCTTCGCTGCTAGGTATAAAAAAGGAAACTGTTCTGTATCCCGCCACAAGGAATTCGTGTTTGCAGCCCGCTACAAAATAAATGCGTTTGTATTCAGTCACACAGGGAATCCGTTACAACAAACAGTTTGAAATATGTTTGTAATCCGCTATATTCAGACACAAAGGGCATCACCTTTAATCCGCCAAAAAAACGTTATGTAATCTGCGACAAGGAATCCGGTTGAAATTGTTTGGATTCGTGCAAGACTTGTGATTCCTCAGCTTGTTATTTCCTGTCTTACAAGAATAGAAGTTTTGCCTGTGCCCGTCCAGCCTTTAGTTGACTTGCATTGAGAAGATTATGTTTAGCTGCGGCGGCTCCGCTCAAGCGGATTTTTCATGAGTTCGCAACTATGGGACTTGAGTTCAAGAGTTGCGAAACCGTGCTGAAGGAAGGACTAAGTTCGCTGAGTCTGCGCAGCGGCAACTTATAATTGTACGATAACTCGCTGATCGAGCACGGGCGAAATTCGCACTTCCATCAGAGCACAGCTGAAAACTTAGTTTTCGAGAATACATATAGCGAAAAATCTGTGGCCACACATGTCTTTCACTAGTTCAAGCAATTTCAATCGGAATCCGTTTGCGGCGGGATACAAAGAACTCCTTTTGTGGTGGAATGCTAAAAGGATTCCTTTTCGGGGCGGAATGCATAACGTTTCCTCTTGGGACGAAATACAAGGCTTCCTTGTGTGGCGAATTGGAAAAAGATCCATTCTGTTTTGGTATACGCAAGAATTCCTTATGCGGCGGATCGCGAACGGGTTATTTGTGCAGCGGGATACATCAGTGTCCCTTCCATGTCGAAATAAAAGAATCCCTTTTGCAACGAATTACAAACATATCCGTATGTGGCGGAATGAAAATGGGGGAATCCAAACGGATTTCGCTTTTGGCGGCGCACAAAAGGATTCATTCGTGGCGGAACACAACGGAACTGTTGTTGTGGCGCTTCACGTAAGGATTCCTATTGTTGCGAAATACAACAAGATTGTGTTTGTTTGCGGCGAGTTGCAAAAATATTCCCTCTGGCCTCACATTACGACTCTGGTTGTAGTGGGTTTAAAATGATTTCATTCGTGGCAGTTTACAAAAAGATTCCGGTCGCAGCGGAATACGAAAACAATCTCTTGTGGCAGAATACAAAGGACCGCCTCTGGCGGCTTTCAGGAGGATGTGTCTTGTTGCGAATGAAAAAAGTATCACGTGGTGGCGGTACACCTAGAAATCCTCTGCGTGGTGGCATACAACCTGATTCTACTTGCACACAATACCAAACATATTCTTTTGAAGCGGAGTACAAA